CCCACCAAGCCACACCCACAGAACTGATAGTAAAAAAAAAATAGATTTCACCACTCATCTCCACGTCTTCTCTTAGGATACTCGGCTACCAAGTGAAGGACGGGAAAGTTGAGCCGCAAGATAACTTTCTCAAACGGATGTCTGGGATGATCCGACTCTATGCAGCCATCCTGCAGCTTCAGTGGCCTTACCGAGATAAGCAAGGGGTAAGTGCGGGGGGACGAGCCTCCTCTCATTGCTGATCAACTGAACAATGGGCTTTCCCATCCTTTTGGCAGCCTCCATCGCCTTCCCTGCAGCAGGGTGTCGTTGTCCTGTCTTAATAGCCTCTGAATCAGTTCAGAAATCTCATTCTCTCCGTTAAGGTTGCTTCGGACGGAAGCGGTGTACGAAAAAAGAGCTTGAAAATGAAATAGGGTTTTTTGGGGGGGTTAAAATAGAGAAATTTGGCGAGCTGATGGTTCTTTTGCCCATTAGACTCACCCACACGGGTTAAACCATGCCTGGCGTTGGCTGGCCCAGATTTTGAACATGGAACCTCTGGCAGATGTGACGGCAACGATTCTCTTTGATTTCCTGGAGGTAGGTGGTGCTCCAGTCTCTCTGTGGCTTTTTCCTTCTTCCAGCTCATAAGTAGTTATGCTCTCATATATCGAGTAGAGTAGAATGAATTAAAATTAGAATAGGAGAGTAGAGTAGAATAGAGAATGGAATGAAATGGAATATAGGATAGGACAAGATAGGATATAATGTAGAATATAGAATAGAGAATAGAGAATGGAATGGAATAGAATAGAATAGAATAGGAAGAATTGAATCGAGAGGAGAAAAAAAGAGTGCAGGATGGGAATGGGATGGAATGAAATTAGGAGAGGAGAGAATAGAGCAGATCAGAGCTGGAAGGGACCTTGGAGGTCTTCTAGTCCAGCTTCCTGTTCAAGCAGGAGAACCTATACCAGCTCAGACAGTAATTGCCCAATCTCTTCTTAAAAACCCAGTGAATTAACATGAATTAACATGGCTGCGCTCTCTTACCTTGGATCAAGTTTTAGGGAGATTGTATCCTCCGTTTCTGATATTATGAAATTCTTCTCTTTTGTGTTCCTCAGGTGTGTGGGAACGCTCTCATGAAGCAGTACCAGGGGCAATTTTGGAAGATGCTTCTCCTGATCCAGGAAGAGTATTTCCCTAGGTATGGTCAGTCTGGTGTGTGTGTGTGTGTTTGTGTGTGTGTGTATGTATGTATGTATGTATTGTGTCACAACCCCTGGTATGCCCAAATAGGGGAGGGAGCATTCTGCTTCCCTTTTCTGTCTATCGACTCACTCT